TCCCTGGGCAAGGCCAGGAAATGTTTCTTCTCAGTCGTGTTCCTCTCCTTTCCTCCTGTGTGAGTCTTACTCTTTCCCTCTCTGTTCCAGGCTTGGACTATGTCAGCCATGAAGACATCCTCCCCTATACTTCTACGGATCAAGTTCCCATCCAGCATGAGCTCTTCGAAAGATTTCTTCTGTATGATCAGACAAAAGGTATCTTTTTCAAGAAGAGAGATAGGAATAGGAGGGTGCTTTCTTCTAGGAGACATCATAAGAATAATCCCATGACTCTTATTTCCATAACCCCTTTCAATTTCCCCTTGACCCTATGAGGTCAATGGCTCCTGTCTCCTTCCAGGGATAGAAGGTCATAAGTGATTCAAGGTTGCTTGGTAGTAGCATCCGGAGGTCTGAAAACCAGGGCTCTTAACTTCTAGTACAGTTCTCCTCCCATGACATCACTACCCCTCAGGGTTTATTCTTGGTAGTATGTCTGTGCCTTCTAGCTGCGCTCCTTTTGTCTTTGTCCTGTTTGCCTATGCCACCACTGGGAAGGAATTTCTAGGAAGGGCAGTTGGAGAGTGGGTGCAACACTCTGGACTCTGGCTTGGACTAATCTATTGTCTCTTGTCCTAGCACCCCCTTTTGTGGCTCGGGAAACGCTACGGGCCTGGCAAGAGAAGAATCACCCCTGGCTAGAGCTCTCTGATGTCCACCGGGAAACAACTGAGAACATTCGTGTCACTGTCATCCCTTTTTACATGGGCATGAGGGTATGTGCGCAGCCTGTGTTCCTTCCCACAGGGCTAGGTCCCAGATTCTGTGTGTGTCCCTAATGTTGACTGCTAGAGTAGGGGTGAAGGCCAAAATCTAACACATGTCCCTGTGGTTCTGTTCCAGAGTACTCATGTGTTGGGTGGGGTTGAGTAGCCTTTTGATGGTGGCTGACCTAGAGTAGGTAACCTGTAGGTCCCAGGAAAGCGTCCTCCATGTGGGTTCGCCTTTCCTGGGGCTCAGGGGGAGCCTTAAGAATGTACACATGCTTACCTGAATGAGAGTGAGCTGATCTTCACACTTTATACAGTTGTCAAATGTTTATTGAGCTGTGTCTTGCCTCACTCTGAGCCAGGCTTGGGATACAAATGGAAGATTGTTTCTGCCTTTCAGGGCTTAGGGTAATGGGGGAGGTCAATGTCCAACATATGAAGTATTGCAGTATTAGAGGTTATGGGCGGACAGAGAACAGGGTCCTGGGCAGCAATGGCGGAGGCCAGACCTGGAAAGCAAGGTGGTGAGAAAGGAGGGAGTCTTGTAGTTGATTTGTTGGCATCCAGCTATTGGTGATCTTGGCAAGACAAGGAGGAGAGTGGCCATGAGTAGGAGTATACATACACAGGAGGCTGCCTGTGGGCTTGTTGGCCACAGTTCCGATACTGTCATCATCATCCCACACATTCCCAGCTTGAGCTGTTTCTGCAACCTTTCTGGAATTCTACTTTGGATACATGTTGATTGAAAGAGACTTGGTCTTATTCTCTGAGACTTAAATTCTTTGTTTCCCCCCCCTCCCCCCCAGGAAGCCCAGAATTCCCACGTTTACTGGGTGAGTGTCTCCCTGGGGTGGGGTGAGCTCAGAAGGTGTGCTCAGGGATCGGATGGGAAGGTGATGTTCACCTCCTGGTGTGGGTGGAGCCTGTTTAATGCAATTGTTAGCTTTTATTTCTTTTTGCTCTCAGAATTCTGGATAGGCTTGCCTAAGTTCTGTTCTTTCTCATACATGAACTTTCTCCCCACACCTCCACAGTGGCGCTACTGTATTCGTTTGGAGAACCTGGACAGTGATGTGGTACAGCTCCGGGAGCGGCACTGGAGGATATTCAGTCTCTCAGGCACCTTGGAGACAGTTCGAGGCCGAGGGGTGGTGGGCAGGGTGAGCATTACTAGTTTGGTCCTGCCTAGCAAGCCCCAGGGGCTTCCCACTTGGTTTCCTCACAGAGGCTCGCTGTGTGAACACATTGGGTTTCCTGGGGTGATAAAACTAACAACAACCCTGTGAAGTGGGTTACCCTGTAACCTATTTCACAGATGAAGAGAGTGAAACTGAGAAGCTAAATAACAAGTCTACAGTCCCTTCTCTAGTAGTAATAGGGCCGGGACTTAAATCCAAACGAGTCTGAAGTCAAAGCTTATGCACTTTTTGAGCATCATAATGCCTTTTTAAAGCCTGAATTTAAATGTGTCTAGTTGGGTGGGGCATGCATACTCCCATCATTCATGGTTGTGTTGTCTCTGGTTCTTTATATGTCTGCATCCTCTGCTGGTCTTTGAAGAGATTTGATTTTACAATCCCTGCCTACCCCACCCTGTCTCTTGAGAAATAAAGTCATAAGTAGTACTAATGCCAGGGCCAACATCCAAAGTATTTATCCATGTCAGGAGGGGATTGGGGAAGCAGGGTGGAAAAGTGATTAAGAACAGGACTTGGAATTAGATAGTTGGCTCCAAATTCCAGCTGTGTACTCACTGCAAACTTTCAGTAAATTACATAAGCAAAATCTCAGTTTATTGTTGCTAAAATAAAGATCACACATAAAACTTTATGATCACTGGAAGTTAAGCAGCAGAGGTTTGCAGAATACAGACTCTGGTGCCTGACACTTAATTCTCATGAATGGACACTGGAAGGGATGCTTTCAGAGTGGGTCTTATGCTCAGAATCTTTGCCTGGTACCTTAGTCTGAGATTATCTTTCCCAGAGTCAGAATAAAAAGCCCCCTAGGCCACTGATAAGTAGTCACTGTGGCAGTGCCTGCTCTGGTAGTGTCTTAGGTTGGGGGCATTTAGTCTTGATGAACTGGCAGTCAGTATGTGGCCCTTTGGTTCAGGGAATGTGTCCCTGGTACCTGGCCTGACCACTTTTGTCTGTATTCTCACAGGAACCTGTATTATCTAAGGAGCAGCCGGCGTTCCAATACAGCAGTCATGTCTCCCTGCAAGCTTCTAGTGGGCACATGTGGTGAGTGTGTAATGGGGCACAAACCATTGGACTCCACAGACGCTGCTACAGGTCTAAAGAGTGAGAGCTCACAGCAAGCTCAAAATTATGGCCAGCTCTGGGCCAAGCCAGGTTGTGTGGGAACACTCTGGTGTTTATGAGTGCCTGTTTCTCAAGTTTCCTGTGGTCTGTGGGCTGAGGACTTAGGCCCAGGGATCTGATGCTGCACTGTGTTGCTCATATAGTTGGCTGTTTTCCCTCGTGTTTCACAACTTTACCTGAAAATGCAGCTGGACAGCTCATATAGTATGTATGGAATGTACTGAAAGGATGGAATCTGCACAACTGTGTTTTTCTTTATTTTTTTTGAGATGGGGTCTTTCTATATTGTCCAGGCTGGTCTTAAACTTTCAAGTGATCCTCCTTTCCTCAGCCTCACAAGTAGTTTGGATTACAGGCACAAGCCATCATTCCAGTCTTGTTTCTTTTAGAGCCAATCGGGGCTCTTAGGTCTCCGGACCAGTCTTTTTTTTTTTTCTTTAATTTGTAGATGGACACAAAACTATTTTATTTATTTATTTTTATGTGGTGCTAAGTATCAAACCCAGTGCCTCACACATACTAGGCAAATGTTCTATCACTGAGCTACAACCCCAGCCCTGGACCAATCATCTTGTCATGAGCTAAGATAAAAGAGAGTTCAAGCCTGCCTCACCACACTGTGGCTTAGGAGCTGAGGGCATGGCATCCAGCTCCATAGAAGGGCTTCTGACCTGACTCCCTCTAAACCAGCTTTTCTCTGACCCTCAGGGGCACGTTCCGCTTCGAGAGACCTGATGGCTCCCACTTTGATGTCCGGATCCCACCATTCTCTTTGGAAAGCAATAAAGATGAGAAGACACCACCCTCAGGCCTTCACTGGTAGACCAGCTGAAGCCCTGAATGCCTAGGCTTGGCCCCTCAGAACAGGTCTCAACCCACAATTGCTGCAGAACTCTTTTCTCTCCCCATTAAGGGCCACACTGGGTCATTTAATCCTTTGCAACATTTGATTGTGGGGTTCTTTGGGGGGGGGTTGTAACTGTTTTCTTTGGAAGACCCACATGGAACTCTTCCAAGGTTGGCCTCCTCATAAGCCCTGCCTACACTGTGTCCAGTAAACGTTGCCACCAGGGAACTGTGTTCAGCTGCCACAGAGGTGGAGGGGTTTCTTAGCCTGTCACTCAAGTTGTATGGAATATGAGGTTTGGTTAATAAACCAATATATGCTTGGCCATCCTTGCCATTTCTGCCCTCAGGGTCTTTTCAGGTTCCCTTTCTGACCCAGTGGGGCCCTGGATTGCTTTCCATGCAAGGTCATGTCTAGGGAACTGCTTCTACTGCTAAGGTTTCTTTTCCTTCTGAGACCAGCTGGATGTCTCCCAGGGGCACTGTGCCTCTCAGCCAGTGGATAGGCACTGGACTGGACTTTTATTTATTCTTTGCCAAGTGCAGAGGAGGAGGCCAATTCCAGGGCCACAGTGGTCTGGCTCTTGGCACTAACCTACCACCCATGTACCTGGCCTCGCAGGGCCTGGGAGAGGAGTGAGGCAACCCAGTCAAGCTTCCTGCAGCAGTGAGCTTGCCAGCTGCAAAGATGGATCTGTCAAGCATCCAGACCACAAGGGCAAGAATTTGGCCAAGGAGCAGCTTAAGGTATGGACACTGATTGAGCCAAGCTACTTCCTGAGCTTCTCTCAGATCTCCAAGAGCCAGAGATGAATTGGGATTATTTTGCCCCAATTCTTAGGATTCTTTTTTTCCCCACCATTGCAGTGATTGTTAGAGGTCATTTCATTGTTGAATAATTATTAAATCTCGGTTGCAGCCCTTGTTACTGTTTTTCTTAATCCTCCACCAGGGGGAGCCTGAGTTTTATGACCTAGCTCAAGGTCAGATGGAGAACAGAGAAACACAGGAACCAAGCCCATAGCTGCAAGCCTGCGGAGCTCTTCTCACTGTAAACAAGACTCTCTACCACTTCAGTGTAACACAATTTTATTAGAAATTAGTGTTTATTTCCATCACTTAGACTGAGCAAAAAAGGATCGCAGTTATGTGATATAGGAAAAATTTTCTCATGCCAGGATCTGTGCCATCCTTCAGGTAGGCTATGGTCACATACCAGATTCAAAACCCCATTACTGGTCTGCATTGTTAACAGTAAGTTTCCAGTTTTCTCAGAAACCAACAAGGTTTGACCTTCATCCCACAATTTTTGTTTACCCCTCCCCAACCACCTCACCTAGTTGGAGTTGAAAAATTCAACATTGCCAAGAGCTGCTTTCTGAATGGGGCTGGGAAATTCCCCAAACCCTTAAGCCACAAAGTCTGATTAAAGAAGCAGAGATCATTTCAACAAATTATGTTAGTGTTTTCTGTAAGACCGAGAAGATATTTCAGTCAGAAGATAAATGCCCAGCCCTAGACTATATGCTTTCTCAGAACCAAAAAGAGGGGTCACTGAGACAGCCCAGGATTGAAATATCAGCACACTAAGTAGAAGCTAAGGGGAATGTGGAGATCAAAGGACAAGTGTGATCATGCCTCAGTGGGGAGCTGGGAATCTTGAGTATTAAAGGGCTTCAAGAGTGCAGCTGAGAAAACAGGCCAGTGGCTCTAGGCTGAAGCATTCCATCTCCTTAAGAAAGCCACAAAGCTGAAGCCTGATTTTTTTTTGCTTTTGTTGGTGCTGGGGATCGAACCTAGGGCCTCATACATGCCAGGCAAATGCTCTGCCAATGAGCCATATCCTCAGCCCCTGAAGCCTAAATTTGCCCAAAGAGATGGGTTGTCATCTTAACTGCAGTGAAGGCTGGAAGACCTAGTAGCTGATCACCAAGTACCTGACTTGAGAGTCTTCAGCTAATTTTACATTCAAGACTGACTAACATAAAATGCCTGCTTAATAAGTCACATTTCCCCTGTTCCATCATGTCATTCCAGGTCCTTGTGAGTGGCCAACCCTGGGCCTGGCAATTGCCCATAAGCTCTATGGGGTCAGCTGTGAGCAGCTGCTTAGAGTAGTCAAAGAGGGATAAACCTGACAGCCTGTGCTCCTTCTCCTTTGTTAGGCTGGTAGAATCCTCCCTCCCTGAGGGCATTCCTCAGCAAAAAATTCAGATGAGCAGCCTCTCCAGGGACAAGCCAAACACAGGATGAAAACCAAAGTCATGAGAACTCATACCCTGGCTGATACTTGGCATTTCCATGCCAAGAAGGAATGAAGACCTTCAAGGGATTTAGATTTTTCCTATAGCTCTATGTTCAGAGACTCACCACTGGGCAGAACCACCATCCCATCCAGGACAAAAACCAACAGCATGCAGATTGGGGTGGGCCACAGGGCCTGTTGGATGTGCAGGGCTGAGTCCACTGTCCTCAGCTAATGGGCATGTTGACCAGCACTGTACAATGCTCATGGGCTTTATAGCCTTCCAGGTGCTGCTTGTGTTTAGGGCCCAGGGTAGCTCCTAGCCACTATTGACAGTGTTAGCTTTTACAGTATGTGGAGTCAAAGTGCCTTGGAACTAAGGGCACTCAAGGATAAGAATCAAAGAGAATAGCACTATTACATCCCAGGAGTCAGTGACATGACCCCAGGATGTGGGGGTGAGATGTCTCTTTAGGCAGCATGCTGTGAGACCATGGGTCTTGTCTTACATAGCCTGTCTTCCTTGGTGCCCTGGGCTGCCTGGCCAGGCTGATAAAGCCAAAACTGGTCAGTTTTGTTTTTATTGCTTTCTCTTTATCCTCTCCCTCAGAATGATTCTGCAGGAAAAGGGGATTAGGGTCAGGAAAAGGTGTGGGTCAGGGCAGGCTAATCTCCTGAATAACAGTACAAAGTGCATTAAAGACAGATCCCAAAAGCATCAAGAAGGGCTGAGGGGTCTACCTTATGCAGGATTCTGGCACCCTGCAGGGGTAACAAATGCCTAGTCCCTCATTATATAAAACTATTCATTTCCTAGATTATTTTTTAAAAATCAAGCTCATCAAACCTGTGCTTCAACACCTTAGGGACAAAGAAGCCCCACCTGTGATAAAGACTGGGCCTCCACCAGAAGCAGCCTTTCCCCCAGAATGAAGCCATTCCTATGGGGCTTCGCTGAGGAAGGGCACTCAGCATAGGGCCCAGAGGGGAATGTGCTTAGCAGGAGGAGGGAGGCTGGTCAGCTCACCCCACAACAGAAGTAGCTCCCTGCTGGACAGGAAGGGAGATGGATCTGGTAGTGCTCAACAGTCAGGGCCAGGGAACGGGCCCTTCCCAGCCCAGGCCCTTGATTTCACAGGAAGGGCTTGTCATGTTTCTGAGTGCTGGAGCAGACAACCAGGAAGTTGCCGTGTGGGGCTGCAGAGGGCAGGAGATAGGGTCTCCTGTGCCCCATCTCCTTGAAGGTCTTATCAGTCACGATGGGCAGATTGGTGGCCGAGCTGCCGGTCATCGTAGGTGCTATAGCGCTTGACATGGATGCGGCGCACACGATCCCGCAGTTCATAGGCTTCCTCATCTTCACTGGGGGAAGCCTGGCTGCGGCTCCGGCTTGTGGCCTCCAACAAGGAGTTGTCAGGGACGCGGGGGGTCTCATAGAGTAGGACATTGAGTGTCTCCTCATAGATTCGGGCCTCTGGAAATTCCACCTGGGGCGAGGTAGACAAGACTGATTCAGATTTTGTCTCAAGATGTACAGCTTGTCAGGGCTCTAGGCTCTGTGCTGCTTCATGAGGCCTCCTAACTGTCAGGAGACATGCTCTGTGGACATAACAGAAGACCATCCTGAACCTGTCCCACCCCAGTCCGAGACTGATGGACTAGTATGCACCCGTGGCCTAGATACCAACAGCTCCATCACTAGCTGTGAGGCCTTGGGTCTAAGCTTTCCAGGCTGCAGTTTCCATTTGTGTAAAGTGATGGTTAATATTTCCCTACCAGAGTTATTATCAACAACACAAGAAATATGTAAACTGCTTAGCAGAGAAGTTGACACACAGTTTATCTGTCTGCCTATGTATATATCATCTGCTCTGATGAGCAGTCTTACTGCTTTTTATTTTTGCCTGACCCAAAATGTCCATCCCCAGGATCAGTATGGAGGAAAGAGAAGGTATGGCAGAATTCGAGCAAACTTGCCATGTCATGTTAAGCTCTGTGCCCTTATCTCTCAATGCAAAGAATGGCAGAAGCTTGGCCTGACTTATAGGTGTGGTGTGAGGGGTCAGAGAAGTTCATGGACAAAAGAACACGGGAAACTAAGCTTGGTGGCACATGTTTGTAATCCCAGTGGCTCAGTGGGATAAGGCAGGAGGATTTCAAGTTCAAAGCCAGCTCAGCAACTTAGCAAGGCCCTAAGCAACTTAACCAGACTGTCTGAAAATAAAAAATAGAAAGGGCTAGGGATGTGGCTTAGTGGTTAAATGCCTCTGGGTTCAATCCCTGCCCCCCCCCCAAAGAAAGAACACAGGCAGGTAACAGGTGTTGTCATGGTTGCAACTCAGCCCCTCAAGCCTTCCCTCCATGGACATGGCTGAGAGCCCCACACTCACTGTCCCATGTCATGAGGAAGCAGGGCCACTTCCTATAAGCTGCTCTTTGACCCTGGCAAAACATCTAGCTGGAGGCACTTTAGCAACCTGGTGACCAAGAAGGTGATATCTGGGTCTGAGCCCTTCGTACCTACATGACTTCCCCGGATGAACTGCTGTTCCGCCCTAGAAAAGCTCTGCCATCTCTGGGACTGACCCTTGTTATTTTCTGGGGAAGATACCTTCTGCTTGCATCCTGAGAAAAAGGGGTTAGCTGAGTTTGTGTAAACTATCACCTGTCTAATGCCTCAGGCATGCCCAGCACTGTGGTGTTACTATAGAGGTTAAGTTGACTGACCAGGAACTCCTTACTAGCCAGGGCTAGAGATATCCTATCAGTGTTCTTGAAAACTGAAGTCATATCCACTGTATCATGCTGATTTCTGAAGAACTGTCTCATTTTCAGATCTCTAGTAATCTCGCATTCTCATTCCTGTGTTTGCAAATGAGGAAATGGGCCCAAATGGTTAAATGGCTTATCCAAAAAATCAGCTGGTATGTGGTGGAACCAGAATTTAAATCCGAATTGGGCCAACTTCAAATACCTGGTCCTTCCCACTGCATCACACAGTTCCCTGTTGGCCAATGCCTCCTGTCCCTTAGCTACCAGAAGCAGATGGTTTCCATCCATTCCCACATCCCTTGTTCTGGCTTTGTCCTAGCCAGCAGTATCACAGCATGTTTGGGAAAGAAAGCCAAACACAGAGCTTTGTGGGAAAGCCTCATCTGGGGGCAGCACTGCCCCAGCTGCTTGCTGTGTGTTCTGCCTTGTGCAGAGGAAGGCCCCATACCTTGGTCTGCTTCTTTTCTGTGGCATACACGATGGAGGTGCAGCACACCTCTGCCAGCTTACGACCCTGGCCATAGAAGGACCAGCAGCAGATCTCGTCACCGATGACATCCTTGATGAAGAGCACTCGGCCATTGAAGCGCAAGGACAGCTTGTCAAACAGCTCTATGTTTTTCAGCAGGTGGTCATCGGAGTTGCTGAAAAACCCATGAGGGCCGACAGGCCTGGGAATGAGGTTCTGGCACCAGAGGAGCTGTTAGGGCGAGCTGGGCCCTCCCCTCCCCTCCCTGCCTGCCATGCTGAAATGAAGACAAGTCAAGATGCCAGGGGGACAGGAAGACAGTCATGGGGCAACCTCTGGGTTTGGGGGCCTGTGAGGAAAAGGGATTGAGTTGGTTTTAAGTTATAGCAGAGACTAAGGAAAGGGGGGTCTCTTCTCCCTAAACTCAAAGAGACAAAGTCCTGCTGCTACTCCAGCAGGGGGCGTTCCTTCCCTTGCTGTGGGGCTGGCAATGTGCCTCTCTACAGGGAAGCACAGGGAGAGTCTGGGACTCTGAGCCCGCAACCATCTGTGTATAATTAACTGTGGACTGTTTCAAGGACCCTGGAGGCCACGGGGAAGTTGTCCAGTGGGAAGCACAAAGGCTGCAGGAGGCTTAGGAGGACTCCCAGTCTGCTGGCTTCCTAGCAGCCCCCTGCCTGGTGAGACAATGTTGATGAAAACACTGGGCATGCTCTTGACATGATACATGTTAAGGGCGTGTTTCCTGTTCCCTCCTCTATATCCCAACAAGGTCCTGTGCCAAATTCTAAGTATCTCTACCCTGATTTCCCTTCCCCTGGTGTAGCTCAGTGGTGGAGCACTTGCCTAGCATGCCCAAGACTGTGTTCCCCCAAACCCAGCACCTCAAGAAAAAAAAAAAAGAAATAACCCCAGACCCATGTTATCCACTTCAGGAGAGCAGGAGGCTGTCCCCGGGTCTGCTGCCCTGTGTCTGCTCTGGCTGTGCTCTTTCAGCTGCCTCTAAAGCCCTTCTCAAGTCCCCCCGCAGACATGCCCACCTACCTGGTGTAGGAATACTTGTTGTTGCTTCTATTGTACAGCAGCTTCACCACGGGCTGTGAGGGAGGAGAGAGTGAGGGCCGGGCTGGGGGCATGGCATTCCCTGGCCACAGCCCTCTGAGCTCCCGGTACCTTGGTGGAGGATTCGATGAGCCTGTCCTCCTCCCTCAGGGATGTGATGATGGGGATGTTGCACACAGGCTGGTAGGAGTCCTTCTTGTCCTGGGAGACAATGCACAGAACAGAGAGCCTTCCTTGGGTTCTTCTGCTTGCCAGGCTTAGCTAGGTACCCCTGCAGCCCCTCTGCCATGGCTACCCTCTACTTAGCAAGGAGGATCAGACAGAGATCATGAGGTCTCTGGCAAGAAATCCTGACAGCTGGCAAGCAGACCCCCATTTCCAGAAAACCTGGAGTCCACATACCTAAGCACATGGGCTAGAAGCAGAGTCTCACTGCTGAGCTTGAAAACCTGGCTGCCAGGTTGCTGGGCCTGTACAGCATTTCACTGTTCTAAATGGGTTTGTTAATTAGTACTAGGAATTAAACCCAGAGGCACTTTAACACTGAGCCACATCCCTTCACCTTTTTTTTTTTTTTTTAAAAAGACAGGGTCTTGCTAAGTTGTTTAGGGCCTCACTAAATTGCTCAGGATGGCTTTGAACTTGCAATCCTCCTGCCTCAGCCTCCCGAGTCACTGGAATTACAGGTGTGTACCACTGTACCTGACTTCTAACTAGGTTTGGATTCGTTGACCTCATCTTCCATACTGGCACTGACCCTGTAAGTCTCTAGAGGAGTGGTAAATCCCACCTTCATTAGGTTACCCCCAAACTCTGCCCACTTACCTGCAGGGCAGTCTGGCACATGTTCACCAGGCCCTGAATGAGGTAATATTTTGCTTCAGCCATCAATTCTTTGATTTCTTGCCGGTTTTGAGGGAGGGTAATAGTGTCATCTCGGAGGTAATTCAAAATGGTGCCAAAGTGCTTTCCACATCGGTCTATGAGGATCCAGCCTAGGGATTCAGAATGGGCCCCACAGGATTACTGTTTGTCTCCTGGTAACCTCAGAATCAGGCAAAGGCCACATGTTGAGCCAGGTGGCAGGTAGCAAGGAAAGAACCTACATGAGCACAGAGCCCAGGGCCTAGGACGAGAAAAGTGGGAATGGACACTCTAGCTCTCAGGCCCATGGCTGCTCTTTACCCTTCCTACCTGAACCCAAGGACTGGCACACACCATGGGACACAAAGGCCTGCCAGACTCTGTGGAGGCTCACTGAAGTCTAAGCTCAGGAGCACTCAGGCCACCATGGCCACAAAGAACTCACCAGCCCCTTGCTCACTTTCTGCCTACAGCCCAGGCTGTACAGTAACAGCTCTTAAAAGAATCTAGTACTATTTAAATATTTTTAAAGTATGGATCTTCTCCCTGGAAAATGCATAAATACACAACATTCTATGTACCATTTCAGGGAATTCTGTGGTTCTCCTAAGAACTCCAGATGAAGAAGTCCTATTCCAAGTGAGAGAAAATGGGAATCTGGATTCTAATCTACCAGGTGTAAGACCTGCTCTGAAGTAGTTTCTCAGGACTCCCCCCTGCTTCCCTACCCACACAGACAGCCCTGATGCCTCACCTTCTTTGTCGGTCAGCACCTCCATGCGCCCACTGAACATGGCCTTGAGCATGGTGTCATGCCGGGTGAGTGCCCGCACCGTGGTGTAGTACAGGGAGCCGCCTACATTGAGCTGCACGTACTTGTTGCCCAGCCCTCCTCCCTTGAAGCCACTTAGCTTGGGCTTGGCACCTGAGGCTGGGCATAGACATGTGTCCCCCGACATCTCCCGCTGCAGGTAGATCACCACACGGCAGGAGGTAGGCTTGGAAGGCTCCGCCGTGGTGGAAGTGTTCACAAGGGAGTGTCCTGGGGAGGCCAGAGCCTCATACTCTCAGTGCTGTGAGCAGGAGATGGGAGAGAAGATGAAAGTCAGCAGAAGAGTCCTCCAATGAGGGAGGGCTAACAGAAGAAACACTGACCATGCCATTCCCTCCTTGGTAAGCCAGGCATTCCCAGCGAGGCTCCATCCCTAGGCAATAGTGGGAAAGACTTTCCTGCTGTTCCTCATTGTACTGGAAGCCAGGTTGGGAGTAATCTCCCAGACCCCTATCCTGCTCACCTCACCAGCCTGATACTCAACTCAGCTCTGGGTGGTAAGACAAGCAAAGCCTTGGAACTAGACACAGAGGCTCTGAGGAAGAGATCACTCTAGGGATCTACCAGTGAGATTCCAGATTTTTCTTTATAAACTTCCTGTGATACCAGACTTTCAGCCCAACCTACTAGGAATCCAGCCAGTCCAGGAGTTTCCCAGGAGCCAAAGGGACAGGATGTACTTCCTTTCTCAAGATTCCAGAGCCAGGGTTTCCTTTAGCACTGGCAGGAGTAGCCTGTCCTCAGGAGAGGATGGAGTGGGCCAGTCTGGAGCAGCAAGCCAATGTTTTTAGCAAGAGTTACCTGGGCTCCCGCTGGGCTTCCTGGCCTTCCCCTTTCTTGGCACCAGACTTGACCCAAGTTCCTGAAATCGTTGCTATTTTCCAAGGCAGAACAACTACAGGATAGCTATTTTTGCTTCTTTTTCCTGAGAAGGAACCCAGTTTTATCTTTTCTTCTCTTTGCTCCAAAGAAGAACGAGGAGAAAGTATCAGAAAAGATCAGATGATAAATCTAAAAATTTTTGAGTAATGTGGGGATTAGAATACTAACTGGAGAGCTGGGGATGTACCTCAGTTGGTAGAGTACTTGCCTTGCATGCACAAGGCCCTAGGTTTGATATCATTTACACACAGACACACACACACACACACACACACACACACACACACACACACACACAAAGAATACTAACTGGAGCTGACAGAACCAAGGAGTAAGGAAAGCCAGGTCACCCTCATGAATTACATTCTCTTTCCCCTCCTTTTTTGTGATTTGTACTCTAACCCATCTGAATCCATGGATTCAATTAATAGTGGATTGAAAATACATGAAAATAATAATAGCACTTGTACCGACACAAGTAGACTTTGTTCTTGTCATTTGTTCCTGATACAGTATAACAACAACTTACATGGCATTTATACTTGTTATGGATTGGATATGAGGTATCCCCCCAAAGTTCCTGTGTTAATGAGGAATGTTAAAGGTAAAATGATTAGATTGTGAGAGCTGTAACAATAGGGTGTGGCTGGAGGAGGTGGATCACTGGGATTGTGCCCTGGAAGGGAACATTTGTCCCAGGCCCCTTCCCTGTCCCTCTCTTTCTAACCTTGCTGTGAGCTGAGCAGCACTGGGCCCTTCCCCCATGATGTGCTCTCCTCTTGGGCCCAGAGCCATAGAGTTGGCCATCTTTAACTGAGACTTCCAAAACGCTCGAGTCCCAATAAATTTTTCCTCGCCTAAGTTGTTTTTGTTGGATATTTTGGTTGTAGTGATGAAAAACTGACTAAAACAATATTCTAAAAGTATGATAACCAATATAGAGGTTTAAAGTATACAGGAGGATGATCATCAATTATATGCAAGTTATATAAGGGGACTGGAGCATCCCTGGATTTCAGTGTCTACGGAGGCCTTGGAACCAAAAGAGGTGCAAGGGTATTATGTTTTGGCTATCTAAAGAATCAATATAACCCATTCACTGAAGAAAAAATACAATAGCTAGCATTCATTGAATATTTACTATGTACCAGGTACTATTCTATGTTAATATTTTCATATCTATTTTTAGCCCATTTAATCTATTCAGCAATATAAATATTGAGTGCTTACTATGTTAAACAGTAGGAAATTTTTGTTTTGGATATGAAGTGTCCCCTAAAGACTCATGTGTTAAAGGCTTGGTCCCCAGTGCAGCAACATTCGGAAGTGGGGATTTGGGGGACTGATCAGATCATGACTTTCCACTTCAACAATCTATCAATCCATCAGGGATTCATATAGGATAGCATTATTGGGATGTGGTGAAAACTGTAGGCAGGGGGGCCAGTAAGAGGAAATAAGTCACTGGGGGTGTTCCTTGGAAGAGTCTCTCTCTTCCCCAGCCCCTACTTCCTGCTCTCTCACTGTCTCTGCTTCCATCTGCCATGGATGAGCAGCTTTTCTCTGCCACCTTCTTCCACCACATGTTCTGCCTCACCTCAGGTCCAAAGCAACAGAGCTCACCAATAATGGACTGAAACCTCTGAAACTCTGAGTCTAAATAAATCTTTCCTCCTTGAAGTTGTTTTTCTCATATGTATATTTTGTTCCAGCAGTGGAAAGCTGACTCAGGCAGGAACTATGCAAATATATTGTCTTGCCTTCAAAAAGGTCAAAGAACTGTTAGCAAGATTTTTTTTTTTTTTAATGTTTTGAGTTAGCATTTACTGTGCTTCTGCTATGTGCCAGGCACTGGGAACAGAAAGCAAATACAGAAGAGTCATGTCCTCATGGAGCTTACATTTAAGTGGGAGAAGACAGATTATAAACACGAAAACAGACAACTTCAGGAGATGAGAATAAAACAGTGATAGGAGAGTGACCAAGGAAGGCACTAATTTAGATAGAGGCACCTGGCAAGATAACATTTCTGCTAAGGTCTGAGAAGAGCACTTTAGACAGTTGGATGAGTAAGTGCAAAGTTCCTGTTCGAATTGAGTTTTAGGAACAGAAATAAGGATATGGTAGCTGGTACACAGAAAACAGGGGAAGTTGATTCAATGAACGCCTGGGAAGGCACCTAAGGTGGTAAATAACAGTAAAGAGTTTGGGTTTTATATTAATTACTGTCCTCTCTCCTTACATTCTTTCCTTATTTGGAGAATGGCAACTCTACCACTGAGCTACATCCCCATCCCTTTTTATTTCTGATTTTGAGACAGGGTCTCACTAAGTTGCTGAGGCTGACCTCCAATTTGCAATCCTCCTGCCTCAGTGTCCCAAGTTGCTGAGATTACACGTGTGAGCCAGGGCAACTGGCTGCTCATCATCTCTCATAAATGCAACTAGAAGCATGGTACTGGTTTTCCAAGTTCTGTTAACTGTTCTGCTTCCTGAAAAGTGCCATGCACATTTTAAGTATTCAATATATGTCAGCTTGTTAGACTGAAATTAACCCTGAAAAGATTTAGATAGGTCTGTGGGAAGAATGTTCAGGGAAGGGCCAGAGTGGGTGCTGCCGGATGTAGTGAATTCCTTTGGTGATTTGCCTCAGGGATGCGGTATGGATGAGATGAACCTTAGGATGCTGTCTAATAAGTAAGTAACACTAGAATGGCATGAAATCACTTTATCTTCCACCCTTTAAAAGGTTTTAGCTAGCCGGGGAAGCGCGATGTGGGAGGCCTGTAAACCCAGCAGCTCAGGATGCTGAGGCAGGAGGATCTCGAGTTCAAGCCAGCCTTAGCAAAAGAGAGGCGCTAAGCAACTCAGCGAGACCCTGTTTCTAAATAAAATACAAAACAGGGATGGGGATGTCACTCAGTGGTCAAGTGCCCCTGAGTCCAATCCCCAGCACACCTGTCCCCCCCCCGCAAAAAAAAAAGAAAGAAAAATTAAAGGTTTTATTAAGTTCATGTATTTTGTGTCCAGTCCCAATATCCCCAGTATCCAAGAAAGCACACACACATGTACTTCTGCCAAATCAAAGGAACTCAAAGGCTGAGCTTGCCAAGAGAGGAAGTCAAATCCAGAGCTAATCTATTCTTTTCCTACAAAGCAGTTGCTTTAAGCCCCTGGATGACGTCATGCCAGATTCCACCCGGACCAATGGGTGCCAGGAATCCTGTGGCAGGTGACGCCCTAGAAAGTAATTCCGGTGAGATTGAAGTTTCCACTGAAAGCCTCAGTGCTCTTCCTTCCGGACTTGTTTGTGGATATTTGGGGATGCCTGGGGTTAGGGGCGGATCCGTGTCTCACTCAGCAAAGCTAAAGCGAACCCAAGCAGAACAAAGGACAAATCACCGCGGCGGTGGAAGAAGATGGGGTCCTAAAGGAAGAAGGCACACGCGGCGGACCGCGGGGGAGAGGAAGCCGAGCTTGGCAAGAGAGGGCGGATAAGGCAGAAATTCCAGGTGTGAAGTGGTCGCTTCACCCAGAAAGTGCAGGAAAAAATTTGCGACGCCCAGTCTTTCTTGTAGCTAGTGCAGGCTCTCCTCCAGCCCGCACCCTGCCTTTCTACACAAAAACTGAGACACCCACCCCCCAGCGGAGGACCTGAACTCTCCATCTCCCCTAAGCCGTCCCAACCCTTTTTCCCCTGACCCGTCTGGGGGCCAGTCCTCCCCTTCCCTTCCCCTACCGCATCGGCAGGCCAAACTCTCACCGTCCCCGGGGGCGCTTCTTCCTCTCAGCTGAATGGCAACCGACTCCTTGCCGCCCCTAGCTTGTAGCCGCCTGCCCAACAGCAATCCCGGGCTGTGAGCTCACATCCTGCTCCAGCAGACTCCTCCCGGTGCAGCGGCCCATCCCTGCCTATCTGGGAAACTGAGACTACAAGGACCGGCATGCACTGCCCCCGATCAGGGGCGGAGTCAGAATTCTGCGAGCTTTCCGTACACCCCGCCCTCGCCGTGAGAGCGCACCTACTTCCGGCGACCTCGCTGGCGCAAAGGCTTCTGGGTTGTGTAGGCAGTATTTCCCAGTAGGCTCTATTTCCCAGTAGGCTCTGTGGGATATGCGAGGCCAAGTGCTTCCGGTGTCAGGCAGTGACGCTATGGTAAACAGATCTTGTAGCCGTGGCAGCAGCCGAGGGGAGCGAGTTACGTACGGAGTGCTGTTAACTGGAGGAAGAAGCTGCCTGCCAACGTCACCCTCGGCCGCAGAGCGCCGGCAGGTAAGAGGTGATTTTGGGTTGGGGTACGCAGGCGGACCAGGGGCTAGAGGAATCTGACAGGCCCCCGCCTTAAGAAAAGGCAGACCCGGGCGGAAAGGAACGTGGGAATTCCGCCAGACTCTTAGGGAGCGGTTTCACACCCAGGTGACGCCTGAAGCGTGGCCCGTTGATCGCCGCCGGGAACTGAGGCTCGGAAACCGCGCGGGGTTTACATAGTAGAGAAGACCGCTAGTTCCTTCGCCCCGGCCTTTTCTGACTTTCTGTCCAGTGCCTCTTCCACAGCCCATTGGTAGAGCCCGTAGGTAGTGCCTAGCGTGCACCTGGGAGAGCCCGGACGCGGGGACAGCGTATCACCGCCCTCATCCTTAGGGAGCTCAGTCCCAGGTCTCTTATGTTCCTCAGATACTCAGACACGTGTGTGGTGTGAGTTGTGAAAGAATACGATAGCCCTCCGTGAAGCTTCTCTCTGTCCCTTATTCCATCTTACCCATCTCTTTAAATTATCCCCTCCAATCACACATGGGTTCAAGCGAGATTTATGGGAATCATGCCTGACTTTTTCACTCCCTTTATTGACTTCCTTACTCTCTTATCAGTTCAGCTTAGAAAACATCTCAACTCAGAACACTTTTCTTCAGCTGCAAGCTTTGGTTTTTGCAGTAGCCTTCTATCTATTTTCACAGACATTCATTCCACAAACATTAACTGAGTGCCAATTATGTGCAGGCACCATGCTAGGTGCTAGGGTGACAGTGGGGAATTAGGTAAGCATGGCCCTGCTCTTTTGTTTCCTCCAGTCCAGTCTCCAGACTGAGTCAGAGTGATCTTCCTAAATGAAAATGTCACTTTGCTGAGAATCCACCAGGTGCCAAGCTCATTACTGTAGCTTTTGGAGCCCTTCATGATCCAGTACTGGTTTCCTCGTCTGGCTTCATCTTGATCCATTCTCCCTCTGCCTTCATCTCACGAACTTTTTGACTTTAGGTCTCAGTTTAAACATCACTTTTTTAGAAAGTTTTTGTTGACATCCCTCTGCTCCACGCTATGTCCTGCTGCATCTTCACATAGCGCCATGTGCTTTTCCTCACACTGTTTTCATAATTTGTGATTAATGCACTCTCTGTCCAGAGACATTTCAACAGCTCTTTATTCCCAGAGCAGGACTTAGGAGTTTCTGGATAAATGCACTGTCTCAGGTAAGGTAGTGGAAGTTGAAGTAAGTGTTTGCTCTATCAAGTTATGTGGATCTTTCTGGAGCATCTGGTCTGATTGATTACCTGGTAACTGTTAAGTACTTCGACTAGATGTGTAAAGAGAACAAGCAGGAAGACAGATTTAAGGAAGCTTTGAATGATTAAAACATTTAAAAAGAAAGGATCAACTCACTTTAGTTGATTCCAGTGCGGCCAAAGGCCAGAGTCATATATAGACAGCCCAAAGACATGTATTAGTTAGCTCACACAGTGCTGTGGCAACAGTAGGACTTAATTCTTTTTTATTTCTTTATTTTTTGGTGCTGGGGATTGTCTTGCACATGCTGGGCATGCACTTTGCCCCTGAGAGGCATCTCCAGCCCAAGGGACTTAATTCTTTCCAAACATTGCTCTTCCTGTGGCACACCTGTTTCTGATAGCCACTCTCCGACTTCATCCCATTCAGAAACAAACTTCTCTAACAAAGCTGAAAGGGAAACAGGTGTGTCAGGGGGTGATGGGCGCAGAGAAAAGGGGTGCTGCAGGGACAGGTGATGATAGTCTTTGGAACACCTGGGTTTTGGAATGGGCCTAGAGCCAATGGCTAGAACTGATTAGCATTTCCTCCTTTTCTTTCTTTCTTTTTTTTTGTGATGTTGACAATGGAACCTAGGGCCCCACATCTGCTAGACAGGTGCTCTACCACTGGGCTAGTCTCTCATCACTTCCCTTTTTGAATAGAGCATGCATGTTTCACTTATTTTTAGTATTAAAAAAATTGTTTTTTGAGCCAGAATGAGGGTGAATTTCCAGTTTCCTTCTCGGAACTGAGGCATCCTTTCAGTGACCTGTGTCCATGCTGCCTTCTCTGCTTGGAATGCCTTTCCCTGGCCACCTTACTTGGTACGTTCTTGCTGATACTTCATTCTTTTTTGTGTTTTCTGCTAGGAAGAGACTGACCCAACTTTGGTTCCCATTTCGGGCATCGGTATAGTGACTTGCATCATACATTTTGGGTAATATTCTTACTCATAGCTTATTTTTTTTTAACCCTTTTAACTTACCCAGATTTTTAAAATTTGCTTTTGATGTTATTCCACAAACAACATAAAACACGTATTTGAAAAGCTTTTTTTGGTACATAAATGGGGAAATATAAATATGTTTATGGCTCATAACAGTCCTGATGTCACTCAAGTTAACTGCTCTGTTTTCTTCTTGTTCTGTAGTGATATTTCGGAAAAGCACTTAACAGCATAATTTTTCAGTTTACCTGTCTATCTTCCTCCAGCTGAACTATGTGCTCCTCCAGGGCGGGCACCATGTTGCATTCAGCTCTGTACCCCCAGCATCTAGCAGTCTTGGCATGTAGTAGGCACTCAAGAAATGTGTGTTGAATGAACGATGCCTGTGACAAGCAACTGGACTTTATTCTTTCCTGACCCTTGCTCCTATGGCACACCTCTTCTGCCACTGTCACCCCTTCAGAACAGAACTTCTCTAGGGAACCTGGAAGGGAAACAGGTGAGGCTGAGAGGTGGAGGCAGTGGGATTGGGGATTCTTTGGAACATCAGGGGTTTTGGCATTAGTATCTGGGGGTAGGAGTGGGCTTGGGCAAGCAGCAGGTATTTCCTTAGTGGCTGAGAAGTGATTGGGTACTGGGCCTGGTTTCTCTGTAGCTATGGCCAAGGACATCCTGGGTGAAGCAGGGCTGCACTTTGATGAGCTGAACAAGTTGCGGGTGTTGGACCCCGAGGTAACCCAGCAGACCATAGAGCTCAAGGAAGAGTGCAAGGAGTTTGTGGACAGTGAGTATCACTTTGGGAGACACAGTACTATTCATCTTTGAGCAGCACCCCACTGTAGGATTTATACCCCACTCTTTCTCCTGGCTGCAATAATAGTCCTGGCTTTAAATCTCCATGTACCTGCTGTCATATTATTAAAAAAAAAGAATTTTTTTTTTTAATTTTCATCTGGTGCCAAGGATTGAACCCAGTGCCTCACACATGCTAGATAAGTGCTCTATCACTGAGCTCCAGCCCCCTGCTGTCTTCTTATACTTGTCATGTCATCCTGTATTGAGCACATTGGGAGAGGAGGGTGTTTTCTGACATGTCATCTGTGATTTTTTTTTTTTTTTTTTTGCTCTCAAAAACCTTAATCTTCATGGGGCAGAACCAGGGCTTTGAGATGGGAAATTGGAATTATGCATTATTTGATTTCTTGATAGAAAGTGTTCTCAGTGGTAGGCGCTCCATTATTTGGAGTGAAAGATGCTAACTGAAGTCTCCAGAGGCAGCTCAACAGACTTAATGAAGTTATGTTTGAGCTAGAGATTTTAGAATCTCCTGTCCCAGCAGCCAAGCAAGCCTAGTGCTGATGAAGAGAGCCAGATCTAGCTGGAGCAAAGGATTTCTGAGCCTCTGGACCTCCCTGTGCTGTGAAGAGAGTTTAGCTGGTGAAAGTTGCTTGGGTTTCATTGCCAGTCTGTGGTTGCTATGTGCATGCTATTGTCTCACCTCTTTTTTCCCTAGTAAAATGGGGTTCCAGCATACCAAGGATGTTGAAAAAAGTGAGTGGGAGATTAAGTACTTAAATGCTATGAGCTCTTTAGTTGGCTCTGGTTATTGGTGGGAAGGTCCCATCCCACCATTGACTGAAATCTAGGGTATGTGTGGCTAGTCCAGAGGTAGCACTGGTGTTCTGAAACAGTCTTTTTGTGAATTGTGCTTTGTGCTTTGTGCTTCTTGTCACTCCTGGGAAATTTGGTCCTCCAGGTGGACCCTTTGTAGCCTGAAGTAGCAGCAAAATTGGGTCCTCCAGGTGGACCCTTTGTAGCCTCAAGTAGCAGCAGGTGGCTGGCCTGGTGGTAACTCAAGGTCTAGGTATTCCCTGGTCCAACTCTGGGCCCCTGGCCACATTTCTCTAGGTTCAGACCAAGGGTGGGAGACTTGTACCAGCAGGCACCAGACTGTTTTGACATAGATTAGAAGGAGTATTCAGCTCTGCCCTCACTGCTTCAGGGGAGTGCTGAGAGAGAGTGATGATGCTGAGAAAATAAGATATTTTTTGTTCTTTCTCCAAAAGAAATTGGCCAGTTTCAGAAAATAGTTGGTGGTCTAATTGAGCTTGTTGACCAACTTGCAAAAGAAGCAGAAAATGAAAAAATGAAGGTAAGCTCGCATGCTTCTGGCCTGGCCCAGGGCGCTGATTCTCTACTCCCTTAATCTCTGCTCTTCATTTTTGGGGAAGAATGAGTGGGTTCTTTTAATCATAATAAGATTCTTTAAAAATTGTTTATTCTTCTTACACATGACAGTAGAATGTATTTTGACATATCATGTTACATGGTGTATAACTTCCCATTCTTGTGGTTGTACACGATGTGGAGTTACACTGATTGTGTATTCATATATGAACATAGGAAAGTTATGTCCAGTTCATTCTTATTGCCATCTCCCCTCCCTTCCCTTCATTTCCCTTTGTCTAATCTAGTGAACTCCACCCCCCACTCTTAATTAGTATCCACACATCAGAGAGAATATTTGGTCTTTGGTTTTTGGGATTGGCTTATTTCACTTAGCATGATAGTCTCCAGTTCCATCCATTTACTATTAAATGCCATAATTTCATTCTTATGGCTGAGTAATATTCCATTGTGTATATGTACCACATTTTCTATATCCATTCATCTGTTGAAGGGTACCTAGGTTGGTTCCATAGCTTAGCTATTATGAATTGAGCTGCTACAAACCTTGATGTGGCCATATCATTAGAGAATGCTGATTTTAAGTCCTTTTGGATATATGCCAAGGAATGGGATAACAGAGCCAAATGGTGGTCCCATTCCAAGTCAAAATAAGATTTTTGTAACAATTTAGGGTCCAGTTAACCTTCTGAGCTTATATGTCAGGATACTTTTATTACTTTGATCTTCACATCAGCACTGAGTTTTTTTTTTTTTTTAATTTTTTTTTGGTAGTTGTAGATGGACAGAATGCCTTTTTATTTTTATGTGGTGCTGAGGCTCAAACCCAGTGCCTCATGCATGCTAGGCGAGCGCTCTACCACTGAGCTACAGCCCCAGCCCCAGGTTTTATCTTATATACATGGAAAAATGAAGACTTACATGGTGCAAATAACTTAAAGGGCATGAGGCTGAAGGGCACCACCAGCCAGCCAGCCAGCCATTCAGTACCTGCAGGCAGGGTTCTGTGAAGAGCTCTGGACTTGCCTCCTAGCTATAGGCCAGTTCTCCCCAGGCACTCTGATTGGTAGGTTAATCATCTTTCTGGCTTATCCCCAAGCCCTGGTGTGCCACTTTCTTTTCCCCTCTGGGCACTGAAATAACTCCTGATGGCCCACCCCTATTTTGAGGACTTCCTGCTATAGATTTTTAATGAAGCCACGAACTTTGGTGATTCTGTTTCTTAGGCCATTGGTGCTCGGAACTTGCTCAAATCCATAGCAAAGCAGAGAGAAGCCCAACAGCAGCAACTTCAAGCACTGATAGCAGAAAAGAAAATGCAGCTAGAAAGGTAAGAAACCATGATGTGAAGCAGGTTCTTCACATCAGCACTTAGATTCTATTTTCTTTCTTGATCATCTTTATCATCATTTCCCCAGGAATAGCATTGCACTAGTCAACCCGATTTGAAGAATTTTTAAAAATTACATTTGTCTGGGGATGTGGCTCAAGCGGTAGCGCGCTCGCCTTGCATGCCTGCGGCCCGGGTTCGATCCTCAGCACCACATACAAAGAAAGATGTTGTGTCTGCCGAAAACTAAAAAAAAAAATATTAAAATTTAAAAAAATTACATTTGATGGGAAGAAAACAGAACATTGGTTTTATAACAAACATCCTTGACCAGGTTTGAGTATGAAAATTCAGATAGCAAGGGGCCAGTTGGCTGACTCCCAGAGGTAACTTTGTTAGGGGTGGAGTTTTTTTGGTAGTTGTAGATGGATAGCATGCCTTTTAAAAAAAGTATTTACTTAGTTGTAGATGAATACACAGTATCTTTATTTTCATGTGGTGCTGAGGATCGAACCCAGTGCCTCACATATGTGAGGCAAGTGCTTTACCACTGAGCTAAAGCCTCAGCCCCGCCTTTTATTTTTTAAATAGCTTTATTTTATTCATTTTTATGTGGTACTGAGGATTGAACCCAGTGCCTTACATGTGCTAGGCAAGCACTCTACCACTGAGCCACAACCCTGCCCTTATTTGTTTTTATCTGGTATTAAGGATCAAACCCAGGGCCTCACACATGTGAAGCAAGTGCTCCCCATGAGCCACAACCCAGCCCTGGAGAATTCCTATGGGTAGGACTTTGCCTGTTTGTTTTTTCTTTCTTGCCCTAACTTCATTCTGAACTCACCATTTCTTAGAATCATTTAAACCTCTGTAGTCTTCTCTAGAAGACTTAAGACTATGGTTTGTTTCATCTTTTTCAGGGCTTCTAATAATTTTGTTTTTCAGGTATCGGGTTGAATATGAAGCTTTGTGTAAAGTAGAAGCAGAACAAAATGAATTTATTGACCAATTTATTTTTCAGAAATGAACTGAAAATTTCATTTTATACCAGGAAGGCAAAAAAGCCCCCAAACCAAAAAACCTCTGTACCATTCCAGTGACTTGACTAATGACCTACGTCATGACAGTGTGCAAGGAACACAGCCCTCTGAAGGCAGTAATGCAGTCCAGGGGTAGGACTGGAATGAGTGAGTGAACAGCTACTGCCAGTGGCCATGCTGGGCAGGTTCTCACCTCTTACATTCTTAGTAGGAATGAAGCAGTCTGTAAACTTTGATCCTCTTTTTTGTAAACTTAGAAAGCTTTGGAAAGAAAAAGCAATAAACTATTGTTTTCAAATGGCTTAGTTGCCTTTTTCCCCCTTGTGGTTTGCAGAGTGCTTCACCCCTTGTGAGAGAATCCTGGATGCTCAATTCCCAGTCCACAAAACTCATCAGGCAGTAGTCATCAGCTGCCTTTATTTGGACCAGTTTCACCTGAGTTGGTACCAACAGTCAGACCAGTATGACTTGTGAACAAAAAAGACAAAAACAGAGTTGATCAGGACTTGTTTTTCGTTTTCCCTCTTTAGTGTTGGCCTCAAGTAGATTTAGAGAACCCTGATGGAATGCTGAGCATTAATGTGAAGAGATCTGACATGCACACGTTGGTTTTGTCACACCCAACTATCCCCAGCCCTAAACAGGGTGGGAATGACCAGACTGTATCAGGAAGGATGAAGCTGTTCATTAGGGAGCACACCTCCAGAACAGTCCTTAGATGCCAGACTTTAGAATGAAGGGAACTGTCCCAGGTGGTCTTTAAAAATATACATGTCTAAGATTTGGAAATAAGATGAACAAAGTGACTTAAAATCTCTTGGGATGACCTGTTTAAGAAACAAACACTTTCCAGTCTAACCTGTTTGATTGACAAGTCACGCCGAGGCTGAACCTTAGGGAAACTCAATTTAAACCTCTTCTACATAATATTTTCCCTTTTTTCTCCCAGGGGTAGAGGTAGGGCCAAGAAAACATGGTTTTTAATGAATATTAAAGAGGCACAATTTCTAATTTGAATGGTCTGAAACCACTCCACTATTTTTGGATTGGTGATTGATAGGCTACAGTGAATCATGAGTCAAAGGTTCAGTCATGTGTATATGCTGTGGGTCAGTTGCCTCATGAATGAGTCAAGGAGGCCATGTCTTGAGGGAGCTTACTCAGTTTCTGGTCTGGTCCTGCAATGGAACTTGGGCACATGATAAGGTATTTGGCACGACTTTTCAACGATAGCCCATTCTCCTTTGCCCCCCACCCCGCTTTGCCTCCCACCCCAGCTGATGAATCTGTTCATCTCTTGGAAGATAAAGGTTTGATGTGGCTCCTGCCACCATCTTGCTCTTAAGTACTGCTGTTCATGTTTCAAATGCTACTGAAGACATGGGTTCAGAGTAGTTTTTCTTGTATTGGGTCAAAAGGGGCAACTGCCCTGTGAGTGTCTCTTCCTGGGTCAGTGATTGTTTCCCTCATTTTTTCTTTCTTTTCTCCTCGCGGTAGGGGTTCTTCAACATGAACAACAGAAGTATGAAGGGAACGATAAAGTAGGGGGCATAGATGGCCATGAGGGTTATTCGTTCATGGAAACTCTCAGGACCTACTCCTTTGAAACCACTGGCTTTGGAGAAATCCCCAAATAGAAATGTGGAGAGAATTGGAATTAATGTTGTTAGGGTATGAACTGAGTAGATGATTGCAGGCATACGGATCCACTTGCAATTTCCTGAAGCAAAGAAAGAGAAAAGGATGGTTAGATCTGTATATGGTTTCTGGGACGTCTGAGATGTTCTTTGCCCTGTCTCTGCTGGCCTGTTCCCTTTCTGTGCTTTTCTCCAGGTAGAAACTCAGAAAAAAATGGAAAAATGGATGTTACACTATCCAATACATAAACTTAGTTGAGAGCTAGGACCCTAGCTCACTGACTTGCCAGAGAAATCAAGGGTGAGGGTCAGAATATAACTTAGCAGAACTCTAGGATAGTAAAACTCCCATTACCAGTTTAGTCTAAAATGCAAGGGGAGGTACATCCCTATCCCAGCACCCGCCTGTGAAGTCATCATATATAGGCAAGAGGCCTGCAGTTGGATCCAGTGCCTCTGGTAAACTCCAGTAGGCACTTTCAGCTGTAAGAGCTTAGTTACTAAGGACAGAGGTATGGCCTCTTATTTATAAAGGCATTAATTATATAAGAACATGTAAGAATAATTTTTAAATGAGAAGCCTTTTATGAATTCACTTGATGCTTGTAGGTCAGTATGATACTATTCAAAGGAGGGCAGTAAAGCCAATGGTTGAGAGATTCGATGGTGGGGTCAGGGGATGACAAGTTCAATCTTTAAGTGTAATGGGAGAGATTTCTAGATAACTGAGGCAGTCATGTGCCTCAGTTGACCAGATAGGGTCTGAGCCACATTAATGTCCCTTTACGAGTTTATCCTGATTGCTTCCACCAGATCCTATGGGGCCCTTGTGCCAACTTCAGGGACTATGCCCCTCTATCTTAGAAATACTTTCTCAAAAAATTTCTAGGGCCTGCTTTCTGAGAAAAAAGGAGATTTTTCCCATCATTTACCAACCTTTGAAGAAGGCATATGTTGCAGCGGGAAAGAAGGGCAGCTGAAACAAAAGCTCACAAAACACGAAGGACTGGAACCACACTGGGGTGCTCTGTATCAGAGGGTCTTTGAACTCTTCAGCATACCAAGCCAGCAGGTTTCTGAGCTGAAAACAAGATGATAATCATGGGAAATTACAGCACCTGGCTTGATCAGGTTCAGCATCTTCAGGTCATTTAGGGATAACTGGTAGTCTTTTACTGTCCAGTCCTTTTGGCGGCAGGTGGCATACCAGCTGGCTTCTGTATCATAGTCTAGATTAAAAACTCACTAGCTCTAACTCAAATGTTACCCTCTCTGTGAAGTTTTTCCTCAACTCTTTCAGTCTCTTCTTTATGCTACCCAGAATTTGAGAACTCCATAATAACACAAGTTCAGATTATGTTGCCCACTGTCAAGAGCAACAGACAGCTGACACACAGTAGGTTCTCAGGATGTTTGCTAAAGGAAAATGACATTTCTGCTGACATCCTTTTTTGTAAGGAAGAAATGTGAAAATCATCCTGATATTTTCCCTTTCACAATAACTGTATACCCAACTCCAAAGGCCAGATTCCCTCCATGCCGAAATAAGTTGAATTTTCTTTCTTTTTTTTTGGTGGAGGAAGGTGGTTGTGAGAGGGGAGAGGATAAATGTAACCTATGTGGAGAAGTAAATTCGGATACTTTAATATCACAAGTAAGTTCCTCATTGTTTTTAACTTTAGACCCCCTCCCCATTTTTTTTTTTTTTTTGAGAAGACCAGTAGGATATTTGTAGATGAATGAACTGCCCCAAACCATATAGCTGCTAGGTTGTCAAGGCTTGACTTAGTGGTCTCAGCTCTAGTTTGGGCCCCACCCTTGTAAATACCCTTATAATCAAATAAGGGGAAGCAGATCCATGCTGAAGTGGCCATAGGCAGAGGAAGGAAGCAGTAGAGTTTGAGATGCCCACTGTGTTTTACAGGAGTCTAAAGCCTAGAGGCTTGGGTTTACTACCAAGGTCTATCACAGTTAGCTTCCAGGAGGTGGCACTGTCCCACACATGTTTCAAAGCCAGTGTTTTGATATTATGAATGAAGGCAACTCCATCAACCGGGCACTGTCTGCAATCCCAGCAACTTGGAAGACCAAGACAGGAGGACTACAAATTTGAGACCAGCCTCAGCAACTCAGCAAGACCCTGACTCAAAATAAAAACGGCTGAGATGTAGCCGGGTGGTTCAATCCCTAGAACCTCTCCTGCCCCCCACCTCCCAAAATATAAAGCAACTCCGAGGTTAAGAATTTTATCTTACATTAGAAAATTCAAGGACCTTTCTCCTGTTAATGTTTAATCATAAGATAAAGGTTCACTATTATGAAAGAGAGGTAAACATCCAGAAACAAATATTCTGTTGGCACAATATGAATTTCAGAAAGGTTCTGTTGACCAGTCTATTCACCAATGATCTCTAGTCTGTTCTTAATGTGAACTCTGAATTCATGGCAAGGTAGTGCCCTCTGCCACCTCCTAAGCACTTTCAGGATAGTAATGTAGGAAAACTCAAAAGGAATAAGTTTTTGCTCTTCTTCAGGGCTCTGTTTCCTTATTTGTAAAATGAGCAAGTTGAACTAAGTGATTTAAAAATAAATCTAAAAACAAAAAAATCATAAATAAGTATTAGGGAAAACTATGTACTTTAAAATATTTACTGCATTATGTACAACTATGATGCACTAGTAAAAAACGTGGGGAAAAAAAGCAAAAAAAAAAAAAATTTACTGCAGCGGCATGTGATGACACATGCATGTAATCCTAGTGACTTGGGAAGCTAAAGCAGGAGGATTGCAAGTTTGAATCTCAGCAACTTAGCAAGGTCCTGTCCAAACAAAAGCAACAACAAAACAAAACCCCAACAACCACCAACCAAAACAACAAAAAATACACAATCTAAGGCTCAATCCCCAGTATTACAAAAACAAAACAAAGATTTAGCACAGAACTTGAAAGGCATTCTGGTCCACTTGAACTTTATCTTCGATTCACCTATTTCATAAATCAAGGTAGGCTTGTTAGGGCACTGGGCAGGGTGAGATTAGCAAAATTTAAAAATCTAGTCACTTGGGGCTGGGGTTGTGGCTCAGCAGTAGAGCGCTTGCTTAGCACATGTGAGGCCTTGGGTTCGATCCTCAGCACCACCTAAAAATAAATAAAGGTATTGTGTCCAACTACAACTAAAAAATAAATATTAAAAAAAAAATCTAGTCACTTCACTCTCCTTATAATTAGGTACCACTGCCCACAGGCACAAACCAACCACCTGATGCCGTAACATGAGCTGAACAAAGGGTAGGCAGAAGAAAAGACCCAGGCCCCAGGCAGAGTGTCATGGAGCATGGGAGCCAGAGGCAGAGCTCTTGGCTGAGTCCTGGCTCTGGACAAGACCTTAAGTGCACTCCTTATTTCCCCATTGATAAAATAGGGCCAATCTTACTGTGGCAACACATGTCATCTTTAGAACAATTGCTAGCACCTAAAATTATTTGATTGGATGTAATATATATCTGGGGATATTCAAGTTAATTCTTTTTTTTTAATTTTTATTTTTTTATTTTTTAGTTCTCGGTGGACATAACATCTTTGTTTGTATGTGGTGCTGAGGATCGAACCCAGGCCGCACGCATGCTAGGCGAGCGTGCTACCGCTTGAGCCACATCCCCAGCCCTCAAGTTAATTCTAATGAAAATCTTGGCATGGCATTTTCCAAGTGCGGTGGCGCATGCCTGTAATCTCAGGCTTGGGAGGCTGAGACAGGAGGTTCATGAGTTCAAAGCCAGCCTCAGCAACCGCAAGGTGCTAAGCAACTCAGCGAGACCCTGTCTCTAAAGAAAATACAAAATAGGGCTGGGGATGTGGCTCAATGGCTGAGTGTCCTTGAGTTTGATCCCTGGTAACCCCTCCCCCCCCCAAAAAAAATCTTGGCATGCAACTAACTGGTCATTAATAATTATATATTACTTAAGATCCCTCTCCCCAAAAGAATGTGATAAAATTGTTTCCATTTGGGCTGGGGCTGGGGCTCAGCAGTGGAGCACTCACCTAGCATGTGCAAAGCGCTGGGTTCCATCCTCAGCACCATATAAAAATAAATAAGTAAAATAAAGGTATTGTGTCCAACTACAATTAAAGAAAATATTTAAAAAAATTGTTTCCATTTATAGCTGACTTACATTTGACTCAAGACATCACTGATACCCATGAAAATTCACCGGACTGGGCTGTAGATCAGCAGTAGTGTTCTTGTCTGGCAGGTGTGATGCCCTGGGTTTCAGCCCTAGCACCACAAGATTCATGGGGCCGGCACTCATGGCTTTCTAAGCCAAAGTTTGCTGTGAAATCTTGTATTTCTCTAATTCCGAACATGGACAGACACCTACCTGTATTTGTTTATTTTAACAGAAACATTTTATCTAGCTGCAAAGGATACTACAAAATGCTTTCCATGTATTAACCAATACTAAATTCTTCTGTTTCATAATAAAGAAGGAGTTTTTCCAAGTGATTTGATTGAAACCAACAAGAAATAATTACATAATTTCTAGCCAGATCCTATCTGCATTGGTTATTATCCTTTTCAAATCTTTTTATTTTTGATGCTGGGTATCAAGCTCAGGACCTTGTACATGCGAGGCGCTGTTTACTTGGTTTTTAGTTTACCACTGAGCTAAACTCCCAGATCCAAAGCGGAGTATATTCTGCCCAACCAAATCACACGTTTAAATGGGGTCTTCATGATGCTGGGCATATTTTAGTAGTATTTTGTAAGTGGTAAGAGCAAGGATGGGGAATGGCAGAAAGGATAAACCACAGGCTCCTAAGTCAGGAATGGCTACGTGAAGTAACATGTCAATTCCCAAGAATTTAAGGGACCTATTATATTAAGAGATTATAAATAGGCAGCAGGCCTGAATTGTGGCCACACAAGTTTCAAAAACTATAGATAAGGCAATACAAGTAACCTCATTAAAAGTAAGGCAGAGGTAGATTTGACCAAATAAAAGAAAGTGGCAATGGGGTGACCTGAAGAAGAGATTAATGTGCTGTGGCCACAAAATGAGGAACACCATTCTCCCATAGAACCTCGGGAAGGAACCAGCGCTAATGACATCCTTTAAGATTCATTTTGAACTTCTAACCTCCAGAACTGTGAAAGAATAAATCTGAAAGGAACCAATTTGTGATTATTTGTTCAAGTAGCAGTAGGAAATTACTACAATGTATGCATATGTTGGGATCAAATTCAGGATCTCATGTGTACTAGGTGAGTGCTGTACCATCAAGCTCCATCCCTAAACTTACAACTTAAGTATGTTTGAGCTTATAATTTAAACTCCTATTTAAAAGTAGAGGCTACAGGTCCCTGACTCACCCACTTGGCTAGTTTCTGAAGAACAGAGTAACCAGAGTGTAGCACAATGCTCTTGCTACATACCCACCTGCGCTTTCCCCATGGAAATGAGGTCAGAAGTTTTCCCAGTTATGCTTAGTTCTAAAAGTGAGCAAAAAGGAGACTTATGGGGAGTTGGTATACTTTTGAGTTCTAACCTTTTTGGAAGGGTTTGACCCTGGAAAAGTTGACTCTTCTAGGAAACACAGGGCACATGCAATTTTGTGTACACTACTGCAAGCTCATGGAGTTCAGATTAAGAATGCTTTGCAGGGAATGGAGTTGTGGCTCAGTGGTAGAGCGCTTGCCTAGCATGTGTGAGATACTGGGTCCCACCCTTAGTACCACATTAAAAAAAAAAAAAAACTGCTTTACAAACTGGGCATGGCAGCACACACCTGTAATCCCAGCAACTGAGGAGACTGAGGCAGGATCATCACAAGTGGAGGCCAGCCTCAGTAATAATTTAGTGAGGACTGGGCATGTAGCTCTTAGGTAAAGCATGCCTGAATTCAAACCCCAAATCTCCAGCACCAAAGACAACTAGTTGATCTGCAGAGAAAAAGCAGTTCAGGACAAAGTGAGGCAAAAATCAAATTTTTAGTTGGGGAATGGTGGCACATGACTGTTATCCTAGTGACTCTGGAGGCAGGAGGATCTCAAGTCTAAAGTCTTAGGCAAGCCTGGACAACTCGGACTCTGCCTCAAAAAAAAAAAAAAAAAAAAAAAAGGCAGGGATGGGTGGGTGGAGAGAGGAGGACTGGGACTTTGTAGCTCAGAGGTAAATGCTCCTGGAAAGAAAAGGAAAAATCAAGTCTTTGGGTAGTGAAGTCAGTCTTGCCCAGTTCTATCAAAAGTTTGGAGAAACACAGAATTGAGGGCAGGAATTTCGCAGAAGGAGGTTACATGGCCAAGATAAAGGAAAAACAAAACAAAAACTCAGATAAGAAAACAAACAAAAACCAAGTGTAGCTCTGAATACTTTAAAAGCAAAAAAGGTTCTCCAATAGCCAGGAAAGGGGGGGAAGGGGAAGGTGAGTGAAGGGGGCGGGGCAGGGATGTGACATTTCACTTAGGTGATCATTCTTACCCAAACCCAAGTATAATGGCAGTGTGAAAAGGTGTTGGTAATTTATTTACCTTTTTTTTTTTTTTTTGTATTTGCGACTTAACTCAGAGGCACTTGACCACTGAGCCTCTTCCCCAACTCTATTTTGTATTTTGTTTAGAGACAGGGTTTCACTGAGTTGCTTAGCGCCTCGCCATTGCTGAGGCTGGCTTTGAACTCATGATCCTCCTGCCTCAGCCTCCCGAACCGCTGAGATGACAGGCGTGCGCCAAAGCCCCCTCCTGGTAATTTATTTATTCTTGAGCTTGGGGGGGGGGTTGGTATTGGAAATTGAATCCAAGGGCGCTTTACCATTGAGCCACTTTCCTCGCCCCTTTCTATTTTCTCTTTTTGAGGCAGGGTCGCTGAGTCGCTTAGAGCCTCGCTAAATTACAGAGGCTGGTTTTGAATTCCCTATCCTCCTGACTCAGCCTCCGGAGCTGCTGAGATTACAGGCGAGCGCCACCGCGCTCGGAAAGAAAACCACAACTTTGAATCCAACATGTGATGAGAGTGGTTCATTCAAACTACTTCCCTCAAACACTGACAACTGACCACAGGTGAAACTGTGCAGCATTACACATACTCAGGGAACACAAAACGTTTGTACCTTGCAATGTGGGAGAAGGGACTGGGGCAGATGAACAAAAAGGCAGGAAGACGCAGAATCGAAATTAGGTAAGAAGTGCGCCGGACACTGGCAGGTCCCAAGGAAGGCAGGAGGGAGAAACGTGCCAAAGGAGGTTCTTTTTGGTTATTTTTTGGTGTTGGGGTGTGTGTGTGTGCCGGGGATTGAACTCAGGGACCCTCGACTGAGCCACCTTCCCAGCCCCTATTTTGCATTTTATTTAGAGACAGGGTCTCCCTGAGTTGCTTAGCGCCTCGCCATTGCTGAGGTTGGCTTTGAACTCGCGATCCTCCAGCCTCAGCCTCCCGAGCCTCTGGGATTAGAGGCGTGCGCCACCGCGCCCAGCCAGAAGAGGTTCTATGGGACGCCAGGGGACACCCACAGCGCACCGAGGGGTCTCGAACTCGAGGGGCCAGCGGGCGGGGAACCACGGGACGCTCCTCACCTTGACCGAGTATAATTGTCGCGGCAGCACCACCTGCAGGTCCAAAAACAAGGTGATGGGGATGTGGGAGAGAAAGTAGAAGCCCAGCAGAAAGTCAATGCTGCGCTTGACGATCATAGTCCCCTTACTGTGGACGGGCCGGGGGGCGAGGTTCTCTGGGTCCGGACCCGCAGACCTGGGAAGAAGGCCCGAGCCGTGCAGCGGCGGAGGGATCCCGGGCCGCAGCGGTAGCTCCGCCCCCTTCAAGGGCATGCCGACTGCTCTCATTGGCTGGTGGAGAAGCAGGAGAGGCGCGCCTGCAGGAAGCGGGACTCTCTGCGGTGTGCTATTGGCTTCTCCGCGTATAGCTTGAGAGAAGGCGCCCCGCGGACGGTTTCCATTGGTTGCCGGGAGCGCCGCGTGAGAGGGGCGGGGCTCTTGCACAACACCTAAGTGGGCGCGCGGGAGTCTGGTTGCCAGGAGACGCCTGATGTCTCGGCGCGGGTCGTAGTTGCAAGGGGCTGCCCGCTTTGGTCCCTGTCCTTCAAGATTCCATTCGCCCGCTGAGCTCAGTCGTTTTTACCAGCACCTGTTAAGTGCTGGGCCACGGAGCGTGTGGACTGGAGCTGCCAGTGCACAGTGCGGGTGGCAGAGCGGGGCAGGCCGGGCTTAAGCGATGGCGCTCTCCGCAAGATCCCTGTCCGGCAGGGTTGGGGGTCCAGAGAAACTTGAAAAGGATGCATAGGAAGTAACCTCACGGAGAAGGTAGAATGGACAGGACTTGGTGATTGGCTGTGGAGAATGGGGGAAGATCTGTCTATAGATGAGAAAGAGTAGATTCATTGCTCACTGAGCAAATATTGATTTTTTATGCAGAACCCAGGTCGGGTTGGAACAGCATGGATGGGGTTGCCATTCACTGAGAAGAAGGGACACAGGGGAAGTGAGTTCAAGGGAAGATGATTCAGTTTTGGCCTTGTTGACACTGAGCAGTCCCTGCAACATCTGGTGGATGCTAATAGGCCGTTGGATGAACCTGTTGGAGACTAGACATGTGAAACATCAGCATTTGATGGGAGTCAAATTTTTGAGGAGAAAGCCTAGAGGAGATCCTAAAGCTCCAACCTCAGGGGTCTGAGATGAAGGTGGGCAAGGAGGAGTATGACATCACAGGGAGAAGGGAGGGTCACCTGGGTCAGGGCCACCTGGGGTGGTGCCCACCAGTGGCTCTGTTGAGAACAGTTGTCAGGGCAGGGTGGCAGATGGCAGAGTAGCAAGGAATAAGGAAGTTGGGGAAATGGAGGCAGAAAGTGTCATAAAGGGGAGGACAGATCCTCAAAAGAAGGTGTTTAAAGTTTATGGTCAGAGGAAAACCTGTCTATAGAGGAAAAAAAGAGTAGAAAACATGGCCTAAGGCTTCCAAGAAGGTGGAGGAAGGATTAGGGTTCGGTTTAGGTGGTTTGTGTGCCCCATGGATAGAGGGATGGTTGGCAGTGCTGAGGTGGGTGGTCCTTGACCTGTAGGCCCCATTCTCCTAGGCTGTGCTTTTCTTGATTGTGAAGTCAGCTCAGCAAAAGGGAGTTGGACTCATCCAGAAAAGAGGTTCAGGAAAACAAAGGTGATTTGAGGGAGTTGAACAGGAGGGTTGTTGAAGTGATGGAGCATGCAATTCAAGCTAGTTAGGAAGACATGAGGCCAAAGGGGGCTGGTGACAGAGAAAATGGAGAAGTGAAGCCCTTCGTGTGGTGGGTGTCATTAGCCGGAGGCTGGGAGATTAGGACAAGGGGGTTCGATGTCTGGAATCCTGGTGTCAGAAAGTTCTGCCTGTGGGAGGGTATGACTGAAATGGAATGGGGAGGAAGGTCTTTGGAGATGAGGTCAAGGGACAAAGTATCCAAAGGCCACTTAGACATGTTTGGTGAGGAGAAGGCCTATATGTAATGGCAGTAATCAGGAGGAAGGTGGGCATGGTCTTAGGGATCAGGGAGACTGGTGACCCTGAATCTGACCTTGAAGAGTGAGAAAATGAACAGCTTGCACCCGAGAGGGCTGTGTAGAAGCTGAGTTCTGGGGAGAGCCAGGTGCCAATTTCTGCAGAGTCCATGGCTGAGGGGCCTGGAGGGGTTTGGCTGGGGAAGCGGGGGTGTTTACCAAGGGAGTACAATTGGCAGGGGTTGAGGAGGCATAGCCATAGAGGGACATGGAGGTTCTGTCTGAGTTGGGGAGCAAGGGGGTGAACGACCTGGATGGCTGAACACGCAAAAACACAAAATTCTGACTGGTTCTGGAGCCAGCAGCCTGAGTGAATGAGGGGCGTTCAGTGCTGTTTTTCCTGTTCCAGAGAAGATCTGAGTCCAGGGGAAAAAAACTTCCTTTTAGGGAGGTTGAGGTAGGGATAACTCAGATCCAGCTGCGGCTTTTTCTAGAAAAAAGACTGGTGTCTGAAAAATCTTCGGTCACCCGAGGAGATTGTTTTTTATGAAGTAAGGCCTTGAAGGCAAGTTGGTCCTTCCTGCCCGCCACTCTGGCCTTCAATTCTGTCTGTAAGCTTCTGCCTCTTCCCCTTCTCCATATCATTCACTTGTTAGAGACTATGAAGAGCTGAGATGGCCCCCTCCAGATAATTGAGGACCTAATACCTCATGAAGAAACTGAGGCTCAGAGAGGTATCATCCCAGCTCACAAAACTAGTAATAAGGCAGAGAGTAGAACCTGTGTCCTAAACCCCAGCCCGTCTCTTACAAGGCTGGAGTAGTGTTTGGTTCAGGGCTTCTATCTCTGGGGCAGGGCAAGTGCCTTCCCTATAAGGTCCCCAGACCCTCCTGATGAGGGAAGACCAGGGCTCAGGAAAGGCTTGGACAGGTAGGAAAGGGCCTGCGTGTGCCAACTCCACCCCCAACACCTTGAATGGCTTTAAGAATGGGGCGGCATATTTTAATGAGCATGGGAATACAGACCCTTGTACTCCAACTTGATTATCACTGCTTGCTGGGGGAGGAGTGTAGGGCCCTAAGCTGGCATTTGCCCAGGGAACATGGTAACTGTACAGCTGTCAGTGTGACTGCAACTGAAAAAACATCTTGCCCAGCCAAGTTTGTTATCTATAGATAAAGATTTTCAAGGTCAAGCACTTTCACTGGAGGGGCCCCTTCATACACACACATACAAATCTCTCCAGTTGTTCCTTCTGTTTGAAATTCCTTTAGTGGGAGAACTGTGGTTCTTGACTTGATGAGGTCAGATCAGTCTTGGAATGCAAATGGTCCTGGGAGAGATCAGCTGAGGAGAACACAGCTAATCTGCAGTCATCACCCAAAAGCATGTGTCCTTAGGAGAAGAGACTATGTTTAGGACCTTTTGAAATTTATTTGCATTATGACAAGACAATCATCATCAGCTCAACAGTGGACCCTGTACTGGTGCAAAGGGGATTCTAGCTATTTTCCTGTTTTTGCTTCACTTTTCTACTTAAAATGCACCCACCCTTCTTACTCTATCCCCACCTACCTCCCTACATCCTTCTGTATTTTAAGGCCCTGTTGAAAGCCAACCCCTCCCCATTACCACCACCTTTTTTTTTTTTGGTAATAGGAATTGAAATCAGGGCCACTCTACCACTGAGCTTCACCCCAAGTCCTTTTTATTTTTATTTTTCAAGTTGTTGATGGACCTTTATTTTATTTTTATTTGGTGCTAATAATCTAACCCAGTGCCTCATACATGTTAGGAAAGCACTCAACCACTGGGCTATGACCCCCACCCATCCTTTTTATTTTTTGAGACAGGGTCTTGCTAAGTTGCCTAGGCTGGCCATGAACCTATTAATCCTTCTGCTTTGGCCTCCTGAGTCACTAGAATTACAGGCATATGCCGTGTGCTCCCCCCACCCCCATTGTCTAAATTTAGCGGCTCTGTCTCTGAACATGTTTCCCACTAAACCTCAGGTTCCTCACAAACAAGTATTGTGCTTTATGAGCCTTGATTTATTAACACAAAGCTGGAGTCATTGTTGAATGAACTAAATAGAGAAATTAATCCTCTGCCACATGTAGTCAGTTACTTAGGATAAGAAACAATGGGTCTCAGCTAGCCAAAGGCATGATGTAGATGAATCAAATTTCAACAGGTTCTGGTATGGAAAGTGGTAAAAACTGGAAAGCCATGTGGCTCCCCAATCAGCAGATGGCTTCACGCTTCAAAACTGAACTAGTAGGTTCTCATTCATAAGACTCAGTATTTCTCTTGAGATCTGTGGGTTTCACTGAGGTAGTGGGTAGTTGGCCACCTAGCTTTAGGCTGTCTTGCATGGTCCCCCTATTTTTGGTACTGAGGATTGAACCTGGGGTGTTTTATTACTGAACTACATCCCTGGCCTTTTTTTTTTTTTTTTTGAGAGAGAGGGTCTCATAAAGTTGTTTAGGGCCTTGCTGAGGCTAACCTCGAACTTGTATTCCTCTTACCTTGGCCTCCCAAGTGTCTGGAGATTATAGGTGTGTGCTACTGCACCAGGCTTCTGCTCATTTTGAGGAAATGGGAAGTATACCACATCACCTCTGTGATAGTTTTTCACAGGGTGTCTTGAGTAATATTCCATTTCACATTTTTTTCAAAAATGTTTGAAACATCAGGAAACAGACAAATCTAAGTCTTTGTGGAACTTTCTACGTGATAATTGGCTTTGCCCTTTCATAAATTACAGTGTCACAAAATAAGAAGGGGTAGAGGGAGGGACTCTCCTGTATTAAAAGATACTTAAAAAGACATGACAACCAAATGTGAGATGTGATCCTAAACTGGATTCTGAATTGAGAGGGTAATACTTATAAATGAAATGAGGGACAACTGGATAAATTTGAATGTGCTTGACATATTGGGTAACATATCACTTGTTGAATTTCTTAGACATTTTTCATGATGGGCTGGAGATGCGTCTCTGATAGAGCCCTAGCACTGAAAAAAAATGGCATGATGATGGAATTATACTTATATAGAATAATGTCCTTGTTTTTAGAAGATATATTAGGGCTAGTTTTCAGCAAAAACAAGAAAGTACACATAATTTGTATACAAAATGTACACATAATTTGTATACAAAATGTACACACATATTTGTATATGGATAAACTGATAAGGGAGATGTGGCAAACTGATTAAAATTGGTGAATCTAAGTGAAAGGTATATGAGTTTTGATTATATTATTTCTTTCTCTTTTCTAAAGGCAGAGCAGAGATAGCCAGGGCTAACAAGCTTAACTCTCAAGGAAAACAACAACAGAAGGGCTCGGGTGTAGTTCAAGGGTTGAGAGCTTGTCTAGCATGCTCAAGGCCCTGAAGATGGTTTTTTTGGGGGGTGGGTATTCTTTATTAAATTGGCACCATCAACTGTAAATTTTTTATGACTCCCACCTACCCTCAAGAATTTTTAAACTATATATATATATATATATATTTATTTATTTTTAGTTGTTGATGGACCTTTATTTTATCTATTTGTATGTGGTGTTGAGAATCGAACCTACTGCCTCACGCATCCTAGGCAAGCACGCTGACACTGAGCCACAACCCAACCCCTTAAAT